TGTTCTCAGGCCGGAAACGCCGCCCGCCCCTCGTCTGACGCGATGTGCGTCATTGCGTGGCCCTGCCCGCAGCCCTTAGCCCGAACTGCCGGGAGGACATCTCCCATTGGCTGAGGTGGAAGACCGAGCAAAATCAACCATGGGGTAAGGGGAGAACAGCTACATCTGCACGAGTAGGGCGAAAATCAATCCAAACCCGCTGTCATCTAATGCAATTCTCATAGGCCCCCTATAGGACAGGATGGAACTGCCCCATAAGGATTCCGAGGCTTAAATCTTTATGGAAGCCGACTGGCTCATCTTTTTCCTACAGAGCTGCTGTTTTCTGGTTTGCATCCTAATGCTTCAACTACACGCGCCAACAGAGCTCCTGGAGCAGGCGGGGCTAAAGCAGCCTGCTGTTGTTGTTGTTGTGTGCCGACGAGTCAGAGGGACTCATAGTGACCCCTCCTTGGGTTTCTGAGGCAGTATCACTACGGAAGTAGCTTGTCCAACCGTCCTTCTGAGGAGTAGCTCTTGGGTTTGAACCGCCAACCTTCTGGTTAGCAGTCAAGTGCGTTAGGCACTATGCTACGCTCCCAAAGCAGCCTGGGGTTGGGGAAATTGTGAAACCTTTATCCACCTCATTGTTGTTGGTGTTGTTACGTGCCGTCGAGTCGGCCCCATCTCATAGTGACCCCTCCTTGGGTTTCCGAGGCAGTATCACTACGGAAGTGGATTGCCCAAGCTTCCTTCCGAGGAGTGGCTGATGGGTTTGAACCGCAAGCCTTCTGGTTAGCAGTCAAGTGCCTTAGGCACTACGCTGTTGTTGTTATGTGCCGTGAGTCGGCCCCGACTCATAGCGACCCCTCCTTGGGTTTCAGAGGCAGTATCACTACGAAAGTAGGATTGCCCAACCTTCCTTCTATTTAAGAAGGAGCTCTGGTGGTGTAGAGCCTGAGGCACTTGACTGCTAACCAGAAGGCTGGCGGTTCAAACCCACCAGCCACTCCTCGGAAGGCAGGTTGGGCAATCTACTTCTGTAGTGATGCCGCCTCAAAAACTCAAGCAGGGGTCGCTATGAGTCGGGTCCTACTCCAGGGCACAGAACAACAACAACAACAAACCTCTGGGGCAGTTCTACACGGTCACATGGGGTCACTAAGAGTCTAAACGACTCTGTGGTACCCAACAACAGCAAACACTTGGATAAAGGGAAAGCTCCAAGGGTACAGGAGCAGAAATATTAACTAACTTGTAAAGGCAGCATGAGAAAGCCCAATTTCAAACTAATGAGAAAGTTTCAGTTTGACACCATGTGTTTTCTAACGTGTTTATCTCCCTGTTTAAAACTGAAGGCTTCAGAACTTCTTCAACAGGCACTTTAAAGACACTGCTTCGTTTTGAAGTTTTTGGAGTTTGGACTTTTTATTTTGCAGTAATTTTTCCATTTCTAGCAAGCAATGCTGGTTTTCCACTTTTTCAGTGATGTAAATTTTTCTTATAAATTTAGGAAAAAAATTAGATTAAATTTAAAGAAAAAAATACCTAACTACTTAAATACCTAATAGTACAGGTGGTATGCAGAGAGGGCACGATGGTGTTATACAAATGACTAACATAGGGAAACATTTGCCTGGAGATGTAAGGCCCTGAAGAGATTTGGATATTTAGGCTGGAAGAGGCCTTGGAAATATATTCCAAATCTCTTGTTTTACAGAAATGGGAAAAAAAAGCCCAAAGTGAAATGGTTTGCCCAAGGCTATAGAAAGTGTTGATGGCAGAGAGAGGAGAATGATTCAAGCTTCCTAATTCCTTCCTTAGCCCTTGCCTCCCACCCCACCCCCCCGTTCCCCACTCCCCACCCAACGTCCCAGCACACACGCACACACCTGCCCCAATCACAGAGCTTCAGAACCATTCAACCTTTCAGGCAGCCCTTAAAAATCTTCGCTTCTTCCTGCCTGAGATTGCTGAAGTGGGCTGAAGAAAGGTAGGTCTGTAATAAAGTGTTATAATCAAATTACACCAGGCACACATCTGTAATTTAAAAAAAAAAAGTTTTATTTAGCTTGTTCAGCAAGCACACTAGAGAAACTGAGGTATCACAGTAAGAGGGAACTGGGAAGAATTTATTTTAGGATTTGGGTCTGTGCTGGGTGATTCTAAGACGGCTTAAGAAAGTGGGGAACAGTTTGGGATTGGACACTGTCAAGAAGCAGGAACAACTTGATGACTGGGTAGTTTAATAATTTTTATCTGGGAGGTGGGAGGATTAAAGCAAGTGTAGAGTTGTCACTGAAAAAGAAACAGGATTAGTTAGAAGTGGAGGATACTGAGTAGTTTTTGTGCTTCCAGGGTGGCCTTGCCTGATCTTTATTTATATCCTGAGAGCAATGTTTTTGTTCAGTTAGGAGCATGGGGTCTAGCTGCCAGCTGGACAGTTTTGCATTTTCTCCCACGTAAGAAGCATCAGAGTCCTTCCAACATGGATCCTGCCCATCTTTGAGTGCTTCTGGCCCTAAGTGATTAAGAGTGTCTCCTCTAGGTGAAGAAAGTGGCAAGGAGGGCAGATCTTTGAGATCGTCTATTCCAATTCCATACTTCCTGCAGGAAACCCTCAGCACATCTCTTCTAGGATTAGGGCTCACTGCCTCCCATATTTACATGCCAGTTGTCAGAACTACCTCCCCCCTACATTGTTTGTAAAGATAACGCATGTACTTGGTTACCAAAAAAATTACTGCATAAGTGAGCATAGAGTGACAACGAATTGTCCTTCCCACATTACTGCCTTCTCCCCTTCACCTCTCAGATCCCTTCCAGAGATTATCTGTGCATATGCTAGCATTACACGGATTACCTATCCTCCACTTTTACATGTGGTAGCATTTCAACCACACGGTGTTGCACAGTCCTTTTTTGCATTTAACTTATTCGTTCAATAAATATTTACCAAGCTTTTCCTGGTGAGACTGTTGTAGGAAACAAAGTCCTTACCCCTGTCGTGAAGAGCCAGTGATCACAACAGGTTGAAGAGAGAGAGCAAAAGGTTTATTGAGACCCCAGGAGACAGTGAGAATTGTTTCTCCAAAATGTGTGTCTCCCCGACCTGGGGAATGGTTAGGACTCTGAAAGGGAATCGGGCTGAGAGGGCGATAGGTCTTAGGAATGCTGATGGTAATGTTTTCTTTTCCTTACAGGGTGAGTTGTCTTGTGGTCTCTTGGCCCTGCTTCTGGTCAGTGATAAAGAAACTGTCCTTGGTCTTTCAGGCCCCTCGCACCTGTCTAGAGATTTATTCTGCAAGGGAGAGAGTACAGGAGTGGCATCTTCAGGCCTCTGCTTCCTCCTTATCTTGGTTGCCCCGGGGCTGTCTCCTTTCCCAAGGCCACCTTGTAAAGGGCAATGCCTCTCAGCTACAGCTAATTGGGGAAAAGAGTTATTCTTTAAGGAATACACCATTAGGAATAGTAAATCTAAAGAACTCAAGTAAATGAAGGCTGGCTATACTATTTACTCAGAAGACAATGATAAGGGAGGGGAAAAATGAGTTAGTCACTAAGATTAACGTCTACTTTAATCATGCCTGTTAGCTTGTAAAGGTTTTGCAGGTTTCAATGAGGGGCCCCTTCAGCCTTCTATTTCAGCCTTCCTCAAGACCCCTGAGACTGTGGCCCCTCAGTACCCTTCAGGTCTGGAACTGAACTCACTCCTATGGCTTCCAGCCATACAGTAGACAGGCATATGGGTGAACAGTTACATCAGGTAAATACCCTTGGAGTGATCAATAGTGGGAGAACAGAAGAGCAGTGTTTGCATAAGGAGATGGCTCAGGGGGGCAGGAGTGCACGGAAGGGAAGGACACAGGGAAGAGAGAACTACCGGGAGCAAGTGGGAGGAGAGCTGTTCCACTGTGGGGAATTGCAGTCAATATCATGAAACAAACTGTGTACGGATTGCTATATGGAAAATGAATTTTCTCGGTAAACTTTCACTCAAATCACAATAAAAATTAAAAATAAATAAATAAATATTTACCAAGTTCTTACTATGTGCCAGGCACTGTTTCCAGTGATGAGAATACCCACCCACTGTCATGGAGTCAGGAGCTCTGGTGACGTAATGTCCAAGGCACTTGATTGCTAACCAGAAGGCTGGTGGTTCAAACCTTCCTTGGAAGGAAGACTGGGCAATCTACTTCCATAGTGATACTGCCTCAGAAACCCAAGGAGGGGTCGCTATGAGTCGGATCCAACTTGGCAGCAGTGAGTTTTGAGAGTCATGAGGTAATTCTGACTCAGAGAGAAGTTATGTTACTGTTAGGTGCTATGGAGTCAAGTGTCAACTCATAGCGACCCTATGTACAACAGAACAGAATACTGCCTGGTCCTCCACTCAGAACTGTTGCCATGCTCGAACCCATCATGGCAGCCACTGTCAATCCCTCTCATTGAAGGCCTTCCCCTTTTTCACTGACCTTCCACCTACTATATCTTTCTTCAGGGTTTGGTCCCTTCTGACACCACTACTAAAGCATGAGAGAGGAATTCTGGTCATCCTTGCTTCAATTCTTGTTATAGCTTTTACAAACAATGGAGCAATGAATATCCTTTGTACTAATGCTCCACTCTATTCCAAGAGGAGTTAACTCCTGGTTACAAATTAAATTACTTCTCATATTGGAACTGAATCTGGTCATCTAATTCTCACTTTGTCACAAAGGAACAAGTTGTATTCACTCTGTCACATCACTCCTTCAGAAACTCCAAGAGAGAGGAATTACCCTTCTTACCAGTTTTGCAGTCTTTAAATATTCCCGGTCACAGTTTCAGTCTGGGCCCCATCTCAGGCTACAGAATGATAAACTGAGGCACAAGCGCATCAGAGGCACAAATCCTGCCGACCTCTTCTTTCCTCGTCTCTCCCTTCACCCTGGGGCCAAGTTCCAGGCCCCAAAACCCAACTTGGATCCCCCACCGCTCAGAACCCAATCTCCCACCTCTTCTCCCTCCTGCGCCTACTACCCGGCTGCGGAAGGGGACGCCAATCCTCCAGGTCCCATCCGAGCCGCCGTAGTGCGAGCGCTGCGCGACTTCGGGAGCCCCAGTCGCCAAGGCAACGGGCTCCGCTGCAGGCTGCGGACGCGCGGCAACCCCCGGGAGGCGCTGCGGGCCGGCGGGCCGGGCACTGGAGGCGGCGGGAGCGCAGGTGAGCGGGATGGAGCGGGCCAGCGCGGCCCAAAAGCGTCTGCCCGGCGTCCGCGCGTCGCACAGGGTGAGGGGCTGGGCCGCAGGGGACTCCCAGGAAATAGGCTTGGTCAGACCTTTGTCCCCTCAGCCACCCACTGGGCGGCGCCCCCGCGTGTCCTTTGACCCCGACCCGCGTTGGGGGTGGGGTGTGCTTTCAGCTGTTCATTATATTTTGGGGTCGTCGCTTGGCCTGATCTGAAGGTTTCTTTAAGGAAAAAAAAAAATCCATTCTTATTTGGAATCAAAACTGTGCGGAAAATATATGTGTGGCACTCTTCTGAGGCCACAGGGGAATTAACTTCTTTAGCATCAGTTTTCTTACTTGCAAAATGAGGGACATTATAGCACCGGGATTATAAGGTTATTACGTTGTTACGAAGTAATATTTAAAAATCCTTGCAGAAGTCCTCAACACTTGGGGGCTTTTATGATTGCTACTATCACAGGGAGGTTCGTCACTGACCACATATCGTGTGCCAGTGTCTGGGTGGATGCCAGGGGTAAAATAGTGAATGAGATCTTGTCCTCAGGGAACTGACGGTTTTACGGAGGGGGCATAAGCAGGAGGAGTTGTTTGTGATGCAGACTATGATTTTGGACACACAGGAGACTGTGACTGCACGGAGAAGGCAGCTAACTCAGGTTTCCGGGGGTGAGATTGGTGAGGATGATCAAAGATAGATTCCCCCCCAAAAAAAGATGACTTCTGAAGAAGTCTGCTTTTGTGTCAGCCAGAAGATGAGACTAGTGAAGGGTGCAGTGTTGTAGGCAGAAAGGGCAGCGTGTACCAAGCCTTGGGGGAGAGAATGCAGGTTTCTTGGTAATCTGCAAGGATTTCAGGCTGGTTAGGAATGGATTCTGAAAGGAGGAAGCGGTCTGGCTAGGTGATGTTGGCAAGAAGCAGGTGCCTCTCCTGAAAGACTCTCCTTGTATCTCCTTGTAAGTTTTGAGGAGTTGGGGGTAGTGGAGAACCATCAAAGGGCTTTTAAAAGCATATGTATGTCTGTGTTTGACCAGTGGTATGCTTCCTTTTCTTCTCCGTTGATCTCACCAGTGTTTTAATCTATTGCTCACATCGTAGCTATGCAGATAATCTGTAAATTGTTTATTGAGCATCTACTGTGTACCAGGGAAATAGGTCCCTGTCCTTATGAAGATCATAAACCAGCAAGGAAAACAGCCATCAAACAAGTCATTGCCAGTGTGATGAAAGTTCTGAAAAGAGGAACATGTTAAGGTGAATCCAACCTAGTTTGGATGGTCAGGGTCTTCTTGATAAAATGTCCAGGGGAAGGAGTGGCTTTGCTGCATTGAGCATGTTCCAAGGTGCATGTTCAAAGGTACTGTATGGAGACAAAAGCAGACCAGTACAACTTGAATGTAAAGATCCGTTTTGGAAGAGACCCGCCAGAGAAAGAGCCAGACCATTCAGGACCGCTGTGTTGCACACTTCAGGTAGAACTATTTGCTTAGACTACACCAAGAAGAAACGGCCAGAGAAGCAGGAGGAAAACCTGGAGAGTGTAGTAATGGATGTGAAAGGAAGAGGTCAGCTTAGCTGGATGCTGCTGAGATGTCAAGTAAGGTAAATTGAAATGTGTCTGTTGGATAAATAAGTGGAGAGGTCACTGGGGACCTCATGAGCAGGTTTGGTGAAATAGTGGGGGTGGAGTCTGTAATATCGGCAGCTTCAAAAGGTTCAATGCAATAGATCAGTGGGATGAGGAGAGAGTGGGATGTGAGAAAATAGAGACAGTGTAGGCAGCTCAAAGAAGTTGGGCTGTGAAGGGAGACAGAGAGAAGGCTGGAGAACAATTAGGGAATAAGGTGAAGTTTTTTTTTCTTTTTTTTTTTAAAGCATAACAGAGACATGTGCAGGTTTGAAAGCTGATGCAAAGAGCCAGTGGAGAGGGAGAGTCTGAGAAGATACAGGAGGTGAAGGGGAGAGCCAACCACATCCCTGAGAAGGTGGGGGTGCGTGAGATCCACAGCACAGGTGGAGAGCTTGGCATTTAACAGCAGTCTGAGGGCTTCTACTTTTTTGGAGAAGTTGGAAGCAAAGTCGTTGCAGAAAAGGAGTGGCACCAGTGTAATGCAACAATAAAAAAAGAAATGCAAGTGTAAATGGGGAAAGAAAGTCACATTTTCCATATCTGCAGATAGCAGGCATTTATTAAACTAATACTGTTAAGGTCTTTGTATACATTGATTTCTCAACTAAATCTTGATTACAACAACCCTGTGAAGTAGACTCCAGTATCATCCCTAGATTATAAATGAGGAAATCTAAGTAAAAGGCTTATCTAAGGTCACATAGGATTTGAATCCCGGTCTACAGTCTACTTCTACCCGAGCCCAGATCTTTCACTCTTATCTACTCAGGTGATATGATTGTATACCTCTGATATATGATTATCTGCTCAGAAAATTTAAGAGAATTAACTTAAAAATAATAAGAATTACCATATATTTATGCAAATATCTTACACACTATACATATTTACAAACCTCACAACTGCCTTACAAATTAGTTTCCTATGTGTGCTGTGCATGTTATATGCCTGGGCACGTTATTTGAGAAAATATGGTAAGTGGATAAGTAGCTACAAGATAGATTAAAAAGTAATAGCTTTATGCAAGCAATCATAGTAATAAAATGTAATTGTAGGAAAAAGAACAATAGCAACTGAGAAATAAACATTTAGGAATAAACTTAAAAATTAACAGTGCCCAGCCCAGCCAGGTAGAATAAGAGCTATGTGTAGCTGTGTGGGCATTTGGGGGTGAGTAGGAGGTGGTTTTCTCATGGGAAAAATGAAGGTATTGATACTAGAAAAAGACTAGGTTAATAATAAATGTCTATCACAAGACATAATGAGAAAGTATCCAAAGATGTTGGCTATGAAAAAATGTAAAACTGAAAGTCATTAAGATGGTTAAATTACAGTAAATCATATGATAGACACTGTCAATCATTAAAAAAGCATGAGACTGGCGCTACGTATATTACAAAGATGTTTACATCTTATGGTTAGATGTGAAAAGCACATTGCAGTACAGTATGTTCCTAGTTTTGGGTTTTTTTTTTTTAAGGGTATACGTACATTTTTAATGGGAGAACAGAAGAGCAGTATTTGCACAGGGAGGTTGCTGGGGTGGCTGGGCAGGAATGCATAGGAAAGGACACAGGAAAGCGGTAACTGCAGGGAGGAAGTGGGAAGAGCTGTTAATTTGTGGGGAATTGCAGTCAATGTCATGAAACAAAATATGTATGAACTGCTGTTTGGAAAGTGAATTTGCTCTGTAAACTTTCACCTAAATGACAATAAAAATTTTAAAATAAAAAGGAGTATACATATATTTTTATAGATTTATAGAAAAAAGTGTAGTGGGATATGTTCTTTGTATCTGTGTTATGGGATCCCAGGAAGACTTTTATACTTTCCTTATTGCCTTTTTTTTTTTTTTTTTTATGAGCATGGATTGGTTTCATAATCAGAAAAAGCAATAAGGATATATTCTGCTTGGTGAAAAGAGTGAAGCTTGAACTAGGGCAGAAGCAGCAGGAGTTGGTAGAGAGGGCAGATTTGAGAGACTTTACAGATTTAGACAGGATTTAAAGACTAGGGGGTCAGGGAATGAGCAGAGAGAGGTGACGTCTTCTTGGGCTGTGGTGGCAAGGGGCATCTGTACTGGAGGGCCTTAGATCAGGGCAGGAGGGAGGAAGTAAGGCTGGAGCCTTTGTTCAGAGTTTGGATTTTTTCCTGAAGGCTGAAAGGATAAGCCATGGAGAGGCAGACCCATTGAAAGGAAGGGAAATGACTTAATTGTATTTGCATTATAGAAAGATCACCCTGGCTCCCTCCAATGCATTCTGTAAACTGAAGTTAGATGGTGCCAAATTTCCCTTTGTGTTAGTGAGACTTGAACCTCTGTGGAAGCTACAAGTTAATTTCTTTTTATTTGAGATGAAGCCTTAGTGCTGAAAGATACCTACTTTCCTGAAAGCACCTAGAATATTTTAAACAGTTTTACATAGATTACTTTGATTCAGGACGTGTTCAGTTTTATCTCCACGAAACGGTCTCCTGTAAATTTACTTTCTGTCATTTCTAGAGGAAGTATGAATAATTGAGAAACTAACGAGATATATAAACAACTCAAGTTAGAGACCTTGCATTTATCACAAATATCCTTGACACTCTCTTTTTAGGAGAAAAGAGCCACTGTAAAGTAAGTAATGTCATATTAGGGAATTATTACAAAATGAATTTTTACCGCCAGCTGCTCCGCAGGAGGAAGATGATGGAATCTACTTCCATAAAGATTTGTTGTTGTTGTTATTTGCCGTCGAGTCGGCCCCGACTCATAGCGACCCCTCCTTGGGTTTCCGAGGCAGTATCACTACGGAAGTAGGATTGCCCACCCTTCCTTCCGAGCCATAAAGATTTACAGCTATGGAAACCCAATGGGGGTGGCTATGAGTTGAAATCGACTCCATGGCAGTGGGTTTAGCTGGCTGGGGCTCACGCATCACCCATCTCTACTCCTACAATACAGTAATTTTTCCCTACTTCGAGAGCGTGATTAAAACATTTGCCTGCTAACCAAAAGGTTGGTAGTTCGAATCCACCAGCTGCTCCGTGGTAGAAAGATGAGGCAATCTGCTTCCAGAAAGATTTATTGCCTTGGAAACCCTATGGAGCAGTTCTACTCTGTCTTGCATGGTCGCTGTGAGTTGGAAACAACTCAGTGACGGTGGGGTTTTTGGTTTCTAGTACATCCTGGAGAGAGGGAAGCTAAATGCTGTGCTAACATTTATAAAGAGCTTTGCAGTTTATAAGAGGTGGATTTTCCAAAAGCGCAAATCTGTGATCTCGTCTCACTCCTTCCAACGGTTCTGTGAGGTAGGGATTTTCACTCCCATTTTCAGAGGAGAAGAATGAGGATCAGAGGATT